GGGTGGCAGAAATCTTTTTGACTACTCGCCTCGATCTTCGAGGCGTTATTTTCAGTTGAATAACACAACACTCACCACCCGTGGCATATATACTGTAGGCTTGCTCCGGACCACCACAGCAACTGGTTCTAAAACAACTCTCCCCAGCATCTCCAGGACATTTAATATTACATGAACTTGATGGACCAGAAGCTGCATCTCCATCCGTCGAAATAGCCAACAATGTTGTTGGCAGACTGTTCAGACACACACATTGCTTGTTGGAAGTAGCTGCTAAAGGAAACGCCTTGTCACGGCAGAAATTAATGCACCCGTTATTGTTTAATCTATCTTCCAGTTTCTGGACCGAGGATTCCGGTTTTTGCGTCATCCTGTAACAACCTTCGAAGAGTTTCCATCTGCGAAGTAATGCAGTCAAATTATTACGAGGGAAAGGTAGCCTTGATCAAAATATCTGAGTATTATACAAAAATGGAACTTTTCGGAAGCGATGGGCTCACGTGTGATAGCGCTGTTTTCGTGTTTTCGTGTAGACTCTTGAAAACGGAACTTTTTGAAAACGATGATGTTACAGTATCAAAGACGCCACGTGTGGACGGATAAATTATCAAAAACGGAAAAAGCTTTTGCGCTTTCAAACGAAAACGGACACATCTGGACGGACAAAAACGACACTTAAACTCTACGCGTGGAAAGACAATTTTTGAAAAACGGAAAAAAATAACTTTTGCGTTTTCGACGAAAATGGATACGTCTGGACGGGGCCTGATAGTATAAACTTGGACGCAAACACGAGATAATCTGTTCCATAGTACATACTGAAGTGCATCCAACTAAAGGTGTAGGGAAACGAGAAATTTGTACTTAGGAACTCTTGGGGCTTCAAGGATCAACTGTGCTCACGATGTACCCTTATCTTTGACTCTTGATTGGCTAATGGAAACCAGCTATGAATAGTTATTTTCCTTTCAACTCCTGATTGGTTTAAGGCGTATTTCTCTGCATGTGTGTTCAGGATTAGCCCCTTTATTATTGGTGCCATCCTTTCATGGTTTGAGTCTCGAAACTCTTCGAGAGTTGTTCATCTTCGAATGTGAAACAATAAATTAAAAATTGAAGTGGGTACTACTTCTTAGGGTAAACCACATCATTGGTGCGGAAAACAAAGGAAAACAGGTTACAATAATGCATCACCAGTCTTGTCAATCAGCTCAGTCTGGTATATAATTTTTGGAATAGAAGAGATATTTGCATCTTCAAAGAAGACTCAAGTGTAAATAATTCGATATCTATTTTGGCATGCGATGCATTGCTTGCTTGTATACCTTCCTACTTTATCCATTCTTTGATTTTACAGAAATAAAAGAACTGAGAATGAGAAATTGTAGCCTGACGTAAACACGGATAAACAAAAACATATGCACTCAGTTATTACACATCCATTCCATTCTTTCCATGTAAATAGAAATAGACAGCTTTGAAATGATTTGTACACATGAACAATTAAGAACTTACATTTGGCCATCCACGCATTGAACAAGAAGAAGCCAACATAATACGTACGGTATCAGCATTCGAAACTGGTCAGTGTCAGCTCCTCCTCAAAACTATAATTTAGATGTACCGTTGTCAGCTTTGACCTCGAACGATTTTATTTGTTTCGTTTCACCAAAAATGTCTATGGTAATTGGAGTTGAGATCTTTAGGGCTTAAAAGGTTTGTGTATGTTAGAAAATAATTCCCCGCACAAAGAACTATACCTACCTAAAAGTAGCAATGTAACAGATAAAGACCATAGGAACGCGTTTCACCAGAAGAAAACTGTTTTGAAGTGAGCAAGAGAATTCTTCATCAGATTGCGATGGTCATCTTATCCTTTTTGCCCCGCCGTTTAAATTCCTTATTATTCATTCACATGTCTGCGTTTGGATACCAAAAAGAGAACACTTACCTTGATTCTTGTCAGGTGTTAGGGGTTAACCACTGGCAAATGCAAAAACAGAAACACCCACAAAAAATTAGTCCAATACTTCCATTTTAACGTAACAATGTTGGCTAGAAGCTAAGTCTAACTAAACCGCAAAAAAATGCTTTTTTTACCTAATCATACGCTAAAACTATAAGAAATAACCCGTGAAAAAGTAGCAAACCTTGCTAAGCTTTGTTTAACAACTAGGGGCGGGTTATCACTACGAAATCGTGTATGTTCAATGACAATTGCGACTTGCCTCTTTCATTCACAAACAAAACGGTATACAATGAATTACTGGTTTTACATAGGGTATGCATACCGTAGTATAATTGTTCTTTTTTTTTTGCACGTAATTAACAAAAACGAAAATATTATCAATGCTGGATACTGATTAATTTTCTGAAAATCGCAAAAATTAATTCGCAGTAAAAAAAAAAAGCAATCTGTCCTAATCGCGAAAATTAGTCCCGGAAAACACAAAAAATCACCAATCCGCAAAAATAAACTTTCGCAAAAATTTCTTGCCAAAAGGTAGCTAGCGTTGGTGATAGTACGTCATTATCAACAACGAACTGTGGTTACCTTTTTGCTGGAGAGAACTAAATGAAAGAAGGTACAAGGGACACGTTTAAAGAACGCTCTGATCTTTTCGATTAAACATGATTACAGGAGTGCGTCCGACAAATCACCTGACAAGACTGGTGGTGCATTATCGCAGCCTGTTTTCCATTGTCTTCCGCGCCAATAATGCAGTTCACCCTAAGAAGTAGTACAGTACTGAAATACTTGATTTACAATTTCACATTCGAAGACAAAGCAATTTCGAAGAGAAGATGGCACCACAATATTATCAGTACTAATCCTGAACGCGGACTTTGACTGGACTGTGGTTGGACTGTGGTTGAAATTGAATGGAGTTGCGGTTTTGAGATGCGTGGTTGGCTCAGTTGGGAGAGTGCCGGTCTGCTGGGAAAGCAGTAGGTCACGGGTTCGAACCCGGGCCCGACCAACACTCAGGGTCTTTAAATAACTGAGAAGAAAGTGTTGCCTTTGTAATGACGTCTGCAAACGGTTAGACTTTCTAGTCTTCTCGGATAAGGACGAAAATCCGTGTGTCCCGTCTCGCAGCACTTACACTTAGCTGGTTGTTGTGGGACGTAAAAGAACCCACACTACAGTTCGAAAAGAGTAGGGGTTGTAAACCCCGGTGGTTTGGCCAACCTTCACATATCACATCATTCACATAGTGGGTTGGGTGGGTACAGTAAACTAATAAATGGACTGAGGGCGGCTGCTAGTGGTGCTTTTGTGTGCTGACGTCCTCGCATTCATGACTCTTCCTCCTCCTCCTCCTCCTCCTCCTCCTCCTCCTCCTAGTGTGAGTGCGGTCGTCTTGTTTATAATAAAATTGGGCAGATTTAGCAAAAGGACGGGAACGTCAGTTGACGACTGGAAAGCGCGCGGAAAGGACTAAACACGACTTCCGGTGCTCAATTTGCCGCTCTGCCATGGGTCAAGCCAGTTGTTTGATTTGCGCGCGCCGTCGTCAACTGACGTTCCCGTTCTGTTGCTAAATCAGCCTAATGTCTATTGCGCGCCTTTCGGAAACTTCGACCAGTCGCCTCCTTATGACTAACCACGATTTCAGACTGGAAAGTGTACTAATTTTAAGACTGTCGTTCTAGCAGCGACGATGAACTGATCCTTTTCAAAAGTTGTAGAAATGGGTTGAGACAATTTACTGAGCAATCACAGGAATGTCTACCAAATGCAATATATTTGAAAAAGAAAATATAACAATTTATTGAATGTTTAGGTTAATTGTCCGAGCTTTAACTCGGATTTTGTTATTCGTAGGAAATTTCTTCACGGAAAACAAACAGTTCTTTATATAGTATAAAATACTCTAATAAAAGGGCTTGTTTGCATGAAGGTGGGGGACCCCAGGTAGGTGAGGTAACATGTGGCGGGTCATCCCACCTATCATGTAAACGTGACCAAACTAAAATGAGAGATTATATTATGGACAGGCGTTACCTCGCCTAAGCGAGTTACCTCACCTACCTGGAGTCTCCCATCTCCATGCAAACAGGCCCTGAGGCTATGTTCACATCATACCGAGTAGCTCTTAGTATACGCCTTCACCCAAATCATCCAGTTCAAGGAGATTTGGGGCGATTTCTGTAACGGAGCGCAGATGCACCGCGCCAATCTTGAGGCTATATTCACCCTAAATCGGATAGCTTTTCTTTTCACACACATCGAACATCGTGCCTTTGTGTTTGGCCGAAAGCTATGGTTCGGTTCTGTGAATCCTAACTTTAACTCCTGAATATCTACTTCCGTCTTAATGGGTTCCTGCATTCCCCTTTTCTATCTATTCACCTTCGCTGTGGCGCCGAAATTACCAACCTTATGGGTGAACAGGAAGCCTGTCCAGTATGATTTTCGTGCCGCCCTAAAGCTATATCAGGTATAGTGTGAATATAGCCTTTAAAAAGAAACAGCTAAATGAACGGTTTATCAGAGCGTAGCAGAAGTGAATAAGTTGGAGTGAGGATTGAACTCAACTAAGACAGAAGTAAATATTCCGGGGTGTGGACTGGGATCTAGTTCATCACTTAACCACCTTGTCGGCCAACCGCCCTGGTGCGATATTCGATGTTCTGTGTCGTTACTATATTTACACTACACCGTAACGTGTAAAAAAGCCGTCTTCTAAGAGTATCGTGAAATCAATGTAATCAC